TTGGATGTTTTGTTTTTTTACCCAGTGTCAAGGTCAGCACCTCCACACCACAAAGCCAAAACACTGCTTTAAGAGCACTGCCATTACTACCAAACCACCAATATTGCAAGCCTGACTGGGCTTGCCTCGCTCGTGTGTCAAACTCTACCCTATCACCCCCTCCCCACCCCGCCCACTTCCGCGCCTCCGTAATTTCATAGGTCACACATTCCATGTTCGTTTGCCTCGCAAACACAGTCGCTTGTTCTTGGTTTGGCTATCCGCCGCTTGAGTGAAGCAATTCATGCGGTTCCGCTTCTTTGTATACTTGTCCATCGAGTGACCTCCCTCTCCCGACCCCGTTCCCAGCTTCCTATTCGAATTTGGTTTTCGCTACTGTTTTCGATTGCTAGTTCAGTCCCAAATCTCGCATGAGGACCACTTTGAAGTTTGGAATGTTATTATCAGTCGCTCATTGCTTGGTTGATATGCACACCCTTAATCATCTGAGAGCTGACACCGTCAATTTGCTGTGTGACCCCAAATTTCTTTTACCTGTCTCTATTTTGATTTATCACCTCTATCTCGTATAACGCGGATGCATTCTCCTAGTTGTACTGTTTAATTCACTGACTTGCATTCGATATTTATTTAACCAGATGCTCTGTTTACTTCCTCTGACCCTGGTCAATCCAAATCACATGGTTACGTTCTACAAGCCGCATCATTGACTCTCTCTCTTACACAAGGTTTCTAGTGATATCCTCCTGGGTTGGTTTATATTCATCGGGGTGTAGAACTTGAAGTTGGTAGTTTTTGATCCTTTACAATCAGTTATTCACAACTTTCCTTGTGTATTTAGATTTATTCTCTCCAATGTCCGCGTCTTCACCCACACATCCACTACGGTTTATCGATTCAACATAACTACCTAAATTAAAAACGATATGCACTGTTGAAATTCACCGCAGTTGTGTGTGTCTGTTGTTAAACTCAAGCGTTTATTTGAGATGTCACTTTATGCTCGAGTCCGTTCTAGCCGATGCCCACAAGCTCCCCTCCCCCTTCCACTTTGACAAGTCAATAGAATCAAGTTAGAATTAGCTTCATTTTCCTTTTCGTGTTAAGATAAATAAGGTAAGGGTGAATAACACACCCTTGAACTCAGTGTTAGATCCCAATGGATTTGGTGTGTATACTCTACTGGAGATACTTAACAGGGAACTGCTGTGCGTGCACACATACATACCTACATACATACATACATACATACATACATATAGACATATTTCAAGTAGTCTCCCCCCCCCCATTTTGATTAGATCATTTACGAAAGAGTCTCAAAAGTCTGCAGCGAAATTTGGATTCCCCATCCCCTCCCCCCTCCCAATCAACTGCCTGCCCTGATGAGACAGGTATTTGTGAAGAGTTCGAAGGCAATAATGCAACTAGTTAGAATTGCATGCATCACATACAAACAGAATGTTTCGTGTTTCTCTCTTCTCCCACGAGAATAATGGAATTGTCTTTATCTAATCAGGCATGAATTTGTATGCTCGCATGAGTTCAGTTCGCCTAGAACTAACAGTAATGCACAAAAACAGTAATGGTTTGTGCGTTTTCTCTGTATGTGTGTGCTCTATCTATTTACCTATCTATCCATTCGATAACTCATCTGTATGACCACTCTTTGCTCGTTCAGTGAGACTTTTGTCACCCGCTAATCGCCAGTTGGTTTTGTTCAGTCTGATTCGTCACTCGTGCGTTCTCTATCACATGCCCCGTGCCCGATGATCCACTGTTTGTTCGATGCATGAGGCCGTACTGTGCCTTGCTCTGCTCAATCCCCACCAAAGTCGGAAATCATGCTCGGCCACACTCTGGTGTTCCATTTATTTTTGTTCATTTGTTCATCTTCTTGGGCGGATTCCGAGGTGCAGTATGTCGGCCCAGATCAGATTCTTCTTTTCGGATCGATTGTATTTATCTACTCAACACAAATGTTTCGTTGCTTTTAAGCGCACTGTTTCATTCTATCGTTTGCACCGATCGGTGTAAAGTACATATTTTGCACTTTGCTATATTCCTTCAACGTTTGTTCCATCCACTTTGCTCCAAATTATTTGAACTGATTTGCTCATTGTTTATTGTTATCAGACAGTTGATATGGCTGTGGGGCGGTGTGTCCTAGTGATCTGAAATCGATCCACATTGGACAGTAACACCCCACGATTTGGGGCCGTTGATGAAAGCCATCGCATGGTAACTGAACCCAGGTACGAAACAAAGCAGGGTATTCAAACGAATGGGTGTTCTGGTGCCCAACCCATCCTTTACCAAACCATTATGCAGTGAATGTATCTCTAACCTCTATCGTTTTATGACGTCAATCTTAATTAGAAATAACCACTCTTCGGATTCACCTTCACACAAAATCTTCAGGTAATTGAGTCAGTCACACACACTCGAAAAGCAACAGTCTTGCTCTTGTTCCAGATCCCATTTCGAACTACCAACTCATGTTCAAAGTGTATTTTATGACTGCAGGGATCCGAGCATAGAATGTAGCACAGTCATTTGTGTAGGCCAGGTCGAAAGCTATTCTGGATAGCTTCCGTACTTGGTTATCCATTCAACTCAAACTCCTTGGAATCAGCGCAATGCTAGATAAATGGAAACAACCTGGTCATTATTGGTTCCATATCGTAGGAATATTATTTCACTTTTCGACATCTAGAGCCCTCAGACACATTTATAACTCTTTACGTGTCTCCAAGGCCTCAAAAAGAATGACTACTACCGCTTGATGTCCTTTATAGGACTCTGAGAGCTCTGTGACTATGGCTGAACAATTTCTCAGTGTAGATTGGAACCGTCGATACATCTCTCTTTCGGTCTCATATTGACCACATTTCAGGATGAACACGCTCGTTCAAACTGGACAAATCAAATGTGCTACATGTAATTTGTACCTATTTATACAGGTTCATTCCATATACGTAGACCACCTACAACATTATTTATATCGGCATCTCTTCAATATCCCAGTCCCCTTTTTGTATGTGTTCAACTTCTTTATACTTCACACAGCACTATTCGCCGTCCTAGAACCAATGAAAAATAACTGAAGGCTCCGCTCATCCACATCCACACACACGCTCGAGCCATCAGAACTGAATAGAACCCAGTCTTCGACGAAGAGAAAATGTTCGCCAACTTGTCATTTATGAGATCACACTCACACATGCACGTAATCTCTGTTCGGGTTGGCTGTATTTTTCTATCTCCCTCTCTGTCTCTCCCTCTTCATTCACATCCTCTCTGTTCACATTTGATTAGGTCAATCATGCCACAACGCGGGTTTTGACCAAGAAACGTTCGGACGGTCACCTATCGGGGAGAGGTACGTATCGCGGTAACTCCCAAGTAGCTCTCATGCTTCGTATGCGCTTTGTTCTCAGTTGCATTCGCACTGCTGATGAGACCCAACAAGGTCGAAACAGCTGTCCAGTGCTTCTTAGCTTTTCAGTTCACCCCTCATTTGCCATGGACACGACGAAGTTCCCTTTGGAACTGAATCAAGGCCTCCTTTACTCACTTGAAACACCAAACAGTGTCAAACAGGGGCACATGCATCTTGATAGTCAACGCCGGGAATGTAACCTGGAGGAAACCAATCGGGATACAATGGGTGTGAATGTCAGTGACAATGTGGTAAGCCTGCGTGTGTCTGTGTATACACAGATATCAGGATAGATGAGACAGACGAGACCAACATAAAGGGCAGCGGAGCGGAGTATACACGTTAATGGTGCGTACATATGTGCAGACGGCGTGGAGAGCAATCATAGGCACGAATCAATGAGAGGTTGAAATTAACAACACACGGACAAAGTGGGCAGATACAGAACAGGACAGCGGTGCGTAGTGTGTGCATGAAAAGAATGTCCATTTGGGGAAGGATTTATTTGGCAATATATACATATATATATATATCAGATTAATCCGTTTCATTTGTCATAACCAAAAATGAAGTCTAGTATAAAATCCTAAATGAATAATAGTATTCCACAGAGAAGCCATAATATAGAAGGAACAGTCTGACGGAAACCACTGGAGTCGTATTTGGGCTACACTTGTGTGCGATCTGTTGAGTTCGATTTACAGCCCATCGCTGTCATCGAAGCTTCATTAACTGGGATATGAACGTTGTGGTTTCTTTCCGGGAAAATTCAGTTTCATTATATTTATCACCTATATTAATGCTGTGTGAGGAAAACAATTAATCTCTTGTCTACAAAGGGATTGCTCCAACGTTTCACATCGTACTTCGATCTACGTGGTTTCCAGGCTGCATGATTGTCAATTAAACGTACCTGGCCTTCATTGCCAAGATTAAGTAATCTTAACATGAAAATCGCAAATTTATCAAGTATGAAAAAAATATATTCTAATAGGAGTGATTCAAGAATTTTCCTAAATTATTTCCGTAAACCCTTGTCATCTCGGTTATTTGTTATGAAGCATTATTTTATCTAATATATAATTCATGATAGCAACTCTATTGAATAACCAAATGAAGTTTTTTCTTTTATTAGATAAGGTTTCATAATAATAATAATAATCTGTTTGATGGCTAACTCACCGAATTCGAGAAATACCATTTTCATCAAAGTCAACCTTGAAATCAAGGTCATTTGAATGTTCGTATTGTTGTCACCATAATGAAACACGTAGCGCTCGAAACCAAACGTTCTCGTTATCTCAGTCCAGATGACAGAAATAGAATTACACGAGCACACAGGCCGGGATTTTTCATATCAAATCTTGCCCAATGCTTTACCGGTAACGAAGTCACGATTTACAGAATAATCCATGGAAAACCATAACCAGAACAACTTGTGGAGGCCGTAAACCGAGCATATCCAAACAGACCTATCCAAACGACCTAATTCGTATTAATCCGAAAAAGCATTGCAGAAAATCGTTGTCCTTTACCCAAAGAGAAGATATTCCCTACCATTCATACTACATTCTACAAAAAAGAGTGAAAAAATCAAAATGCATCAGGTTTCAGCTGACGTCAAGCCAGCATTGAATGCGCAGCAAAGGCAGGCCCGTCTTGATTTTGCCCGAGAATTCAAATCTCGACCTGCGTCATTTTGGCGATCTGTTTATTTAGCCGACGAGTGCATAGTCCGCGACGCGCTTTGAAAGGCTCACAAAAATGTCATTTGAAGTGAGAATTTCCCAAAATGACTTATTCCGTCAAATAAAAGAGTTTCTCACTCGTCGAAATTACTCATAAAAAACATGGTCAGCCTTGTCAGTGGACATCAATCAAAGGAATCATGAATAGTGGGAAATTCGGCTCAGTAATGACGAAAACGTCTCCAGGATTTCATGAAAGAAATCATCTGTAAAAGTTTTTGTTTTTCAGGATAACACTCCGTGTTAAGTTTCACGAGAGGTTAGTAAATTTACTTAGTTACGGAGACTGATTCATTTTGTATTTACTTTTAGACTTTGGAAAAAATGCGTGACTCTATGGTCCAGTTCATTCAACTTCCTCCTAATAGCCCGGATCTCAATGTGATTGGAAATCTGTTTTCTGTTTTGAAGAGAGAGATCAATGTGCTAACTGAACATTGGACATTTGAGATAAGAGTGCGATAAGTAATGAAGCAGAATATAGAAAATGAATTCACAACAAAGTTGGTGGATTCGATGCCGAAGAGACTCGAAAAAATCCCAAAGAACAATGGCAGGCCAATTGACCATTAGTGTACACAAACGTTACATCTCAATTATTATCAATCTTAATTTGTTGTAAATAAAAATTGTTTTATTCTCTTCAATTAGCTCTTAACTCGTCATAGTCTAGGTCAACAATTACTGACGAAATGGGAGTATCCACTACATTCTGAACCATTTCATCTGCTGAGTATAAACGAATCACGAAAATAACAGCTATAAAGATTCACCAAGGCTTGTTTATTAATATTTGGAAAAAAATTACTTCAGTATCAATGCTATTGCCTATACAAACCTCTAAGTGTTTCACAGGGACCCGTTGCTTTGGTTTCGATTAGACCTGTAGAAGGAACTGTCTGACAGAAACCATTCGAGTTGTAACTGAGCTACACTGGTGTGCGACCTATTGAGTTCGGTGCACAGCCGATTGCTGTCATTGAAGCTCCATTAACTGGGATATAAACGTTTTGGTTTCGGTATTATTATTCCTTTTACAATTATGGCTTCTCTTTGGAATACTATTTATTCTCCATTTAAGATTTTATACTGCACCCCAGTTTTTATTTATTTATTGTTTTGTTCTTTTAAACCTGTTCCACTAAAATTCATATAGGCAAACTCGCTTCCATTACGATATGATTATATTTTTCCCCGATGGTATTTTTTTACAATTAGGAGTCGTTTATTAATCTCATTAATCGCGTGTAGTGAGTCATTGGTGAATATAAAAATTAAAGAATAGAAACGCTGGTTACTAAGATAGTGCGGTCAAACTGATTTCCATTTCTGTCTAGTTCAATTTCAATTTCAGTTTACGCAACCATTAACCATGCACTATAGTGCGCCGGTTTTGGTTGCTATCTTTCGGCTGGCCATTTGGATGAACATTAGGAGAACGACAGGAAAGGTTGAAAGTAGGATCGAAGAAAAAATTGAAAAGTTCAGTGGATTAATGATACAGAGAAATTGAGAAAATGCATGAACGCCACTGTGTACAACACCCAGCCATATCATTCAGTGTCTCTAACCTTCGAGTACGACCATCCCAAGGTCCCCATCCAGGGAGCCTAACGGGACCTTTGTAACCTAAAGTCCTGGTAAGGGTTTTCATACCCTCTTGCCAGGTCATAGCTTGACCACCTTGGGCTTTTTTCCACCCACTACCTGCCTCGGCAACCATCGCTCGCCGTGGCAGTCTATTTGGTGACATGCGTAACACATGCCCCAACCAACGTAATCTGTGGAGGTCCAGCACTTGCTCCAGTGGGCGACCGCGGTTGCCTAAAACTTTTCGCCTGACCTCATCATTGCTCGTCCGGCTGCCCCGCCAGATTCGTGCAATGCTACGTAGACAGCGGTGTTCAAACACCGACAGTCTATCTTTGTCCTGTTTTCTTAATGGCCAAGTAAAAGCTGAACTGCAGTGGACGTTATCCAATCACGACTAACTTTGAATGGTCGTCATTTGTGAGAACAATGACAATCAATGTCAAAAATGAATTCCGATAGTCAGAGATTTGTAAATGGATTTCCAAACAAAAGACATTATCCCCGATACGTTGTAATCTTGTTTCCTGCTCGTCGTGATTATCGCAAAACAATGTCAGCTGGGCAGGAGGCCCAACCACCTCAGTGTGGTTCATTCAATGTATCCTGGCAGAGCTTCGTAGTTATTTTCTTTTTGTTTAAAGATGCCCTGAATAGATGAATGGAGGTACTTCAATGGATCAAGCAGCATCACCCAAGCCAGTTTAAATCGGTGTTGATTGTTACCGTTACCACCAGTCTGATTATCATTCATTTATTAGAACCAACGCGTTCCTTTGTGGGTGCAATTTTATATCTAATTTTACACAGAGAGAATGAAAAGCAATCGGATGCCAAACACTCGTGATGAATGAGCGGATTGGTGTATCAACCTTCAGGCTTTAGCCATGCTTGCAAGGGAAACTTATTTAGGCTCCCCAACTCTCCTAGTCAGCGAATGATAACATCAATAAAGGAAACTCCCCATGGAGTCGAGCCATTGGTTTCTACAAAATGACGTGCAATACAGCCGTCTGCTTTCTCCTAACTAATGAATTTGCTAACCAGCCAACCCAACGGCTCATCTGTTGAGTGTTTACATCATACTCACTTTTATGGTAAATAAATGTGATGACAATCACACAAGTATCAATCCTATGCAAACATGTAACACTTGTTTTATCTATTCCATGACCCTATCGCATAACTGTATGAACACGTGCATAGATTATTCGAAATAGCAAAAGTTAGAAGAAGAATTTTGCGTGATACCTCTGCGAAATATGACACTGGATCCATGTGTTTTACTGGCCCCAGTTTCGAGGAATCGATTTAGTTAAGTAAAATGCTTCTCATATTGGTCAACATTTTTGTCCTAGTTTTGGAGTGGCAACGATAAATGGAATTGTTCTGAAATTATATGGGTACTTATTATCAACTGTAGTGCATGAGGAGAGGAAAAGTGATAGTTAACCTGCTCATCATCAAGCAAACAACAGTTCTAACAGAGGATTTAGAACGAGACGTGATAGATAGTCTGTATTGCAGCCTAGCAGAGTCTTATGTGGTTCGCCACTTCATGTCCAGGGGCTTAGGTTACCGGTTTCCATCACTGAACAGTAGGTTTATGTAACTATGACGTACACCAATCACACAAGTGTCAGAAAAAAGATTACAAGCAGTTTGTTTTTCCAAAAAGATTGAAAACATTGGGTGACCAGTTTAAACTACTGAGTGAAAAATAGCACAGCCTGACATGAAACCTTCGTTTCAGGTGCGGCAGGCCTTCAAGGTCATTTGTACCAATCACTTGGCAACAGTCACCACCTCTCAGAACGCCTGAAATCCACCATCAAACCTAGTTCCGTCACCCCCGGATCGATCAATGCATCCACCCTCTCAGCCGTAGCAGCTGCTGCGGCGTTGTCCGGATCACGGTTATTAAGTCCATCGTTGATTGGAAATACCAGCGCACAGCACAATTTAGTCAACTCTCTCTTGGCACGAAACAGCCCAGCCGGTTTTGCATTGAGTCAGCTCGTGGCCGCACAACACCAACAACAACAGCAGCAGCAACAACAACAACAAATGCAACAAGCTCAACAAACACATTATCATCTGGCCTCGACACAGCAACAGCAACAACAAGCGCAACAACAGCAGTCTGGAACGGCAGTGGCTGCAGCAGTAGCGGCAGCAGCTTCGGGTACAGCTTCGCAGAACAACTCTGCTCACAATATTGGATCAGCTCATACAAACAACTCCGGTCATGCAGCACTCGCGGCTGCAACGATGTTGGACAACTTCCATTCACTTCCGCTAACTGCAAACTCACAGCTTTTGAAGTCCAATCTCGGTGGCACGTGAGTGGCGAATTCTTTGCTGTTTTTTATCCATTACACTAGCATTATTGGGACAATTATCTAAGCACGTTCCCGTAAATAAATCGAATTAATGCCTCATCAAACCAATAGATGATGATAAATTTCATTTATCGCCGAATGTCAAATTAGTAATGAGTTAGGTTTTTTAGTCCGCTTTAACGGGTAAATGAAATAAGAATAATCTCCATGTTTTGCATGACATTCTTCAAAGGGAACAGACGTGATATAAGATTGGCACTGCGAGAGGTGATCATTTCATATGCCCCCATCGACCTCAAGTTTAATGAGTTCGCTCTACACGTGACACCAAGAAAGTGCTAATCAGTTATGGTGTATCAGGAAGTGCCAAAGATAATGAATTATCTTCAAACTTCTCCGTGGTCCGCATACACTATAGTGGTATTACTGTTCATTTTATCTCACGCGTGATATATTTTAGATAGGATAAACTATTAGTACAGTCCCAAGAAACCCAGACAAATGGGAATGTGTCCCTCGATTATATTGATTGGATATTATTGATTCTGGTGATAAGTGTGCGAGCATGTGATGATACCATACATGTAACTAACTTGCACATTTTTAGCTTTGGTGAAGTCAACAGTGAACTAACTAATCACAAATACTTTTTCAAAAGTGTCTACAGTATTTTGGACAAATTAAGGGCATCTACATGTTTCTATTGAAATTGGTGCTGATACATCACAGTGCATCTCTGAACCGGTAAATCGTAAAGCGTGGAATGGAAGCTGAGATGTTTACCTATTCCTTGGTGGTAAACAGGCTCTCTCAATATCACATCAAACCCAGTGAGGCACGCAGTGGTTTAGCACCCACAGTTCCGGGATTAAGGTGGCCGTTTTTCACGATGGAACTGGTTCTCGCCCAATCAGCTGTTTATCACACAACGGGGACTGATTAGAAGACCCACATGGGATGTGTTTGACTGTCAAAATTTTCATTCTACCAACTTTGAAATGCCTCCGCTTTTGGATTCATTGATTTATGTGATTCCTTTGTGAACTGTTCGTTTTCACCAATATATGGTCTCCCTATGTAGGGAACCAGAGTCCATGGGGCTTTGATCACTGGAAACCATAAAAAGCATCACATTGCTGTGTCTTTCTCAATAAAGATCATCAGCACTGTATATTCACTAGTTTAACTGGGATTTGAATCCGGAAACGAAAGTCAGTTTATTTGTCACACCTTTTACACGATATAGGGAGACCCATGTAGATTGAATCATCAAACGTTGATCAACTACCCAGCACGCAGTCTAGCAACGGGGTCCTAGAGCGAATGAAGAAGGAACCAATAGTTTAAAAGAGAACAATGACTTACGGACAGTCTTCAGTCATGGACAAGGTAATAGTGGCGAGGGGAAAATGACGATCAGTCAAATTTCAGTACCATTTTATGAATCGAGGGCGCTTGAAGAAGTGCATGGCGCCAACGTAAAGCGGACTTGTCTCTTTTTGAGTTAAACCATTTGTAAAGACACAGTGCTTGTTGCTCTGACGACTGTAGTTTCGCATATGGAATTTGCATCATTGGCTCGCGGAACTATTTAGAGTTTGTTCCTTCACCTACAGACAGTAATCTGAAGTGTATTTGATTTATTTTCTTAATTCCTCGCAGTCCATACGTTATTGATCCATTGCTGAATTCCGCTGCACATGGGGCAGCAAGTCAAACGTCAATCAATATGCTCAACACTGCTGGGATTCCAACTTCCGTATCGAACTCTGATGCTTTACTCAAACAATACCAACTATTCAACCAAACTTTGACGGGTTGTGCACTCGGTAGTGGGATTCCGGTGAGTTATAGGTAAACTGTACTGATGGCTTTCACGTGACCCAGGCAACACCACTGCGTAGCTAAATGCGATGGAAATGTTTGTGATAACTGACAAAGAGCACTGGACAGCTGTTTCGTCCTGCTTGGGACTCGTCAGATGTGCGTAACTTTTTAGTCCCTGTACGGATTCGAACCGCGAACCTTTGGTTTGTAAATTCAACCCTTGAGATACACGATCGAAGATCATCAACTTGTGCGAATGGCTCAATCAATTTTAGACTATCAAGCTTGGATTAGCCCATTCGATTGATCAGAAGCACCAGGCACTCCTGATGATCTTGGGTGTGAGTTTTAATTGTTGGGAGATCATGAATTCCCCACTAGTTGAATACATTTAAATGTGATGGAAATGTTTGTGATAACTGACGAAGAACACTGGACATCTGTTTTGTCCATCAAATTTAAATGCAGTCCATTAGTGGGAAATTCACGATCTCTTAAGGAGTGAAACCCACACCTATGATAATCAAGAGTGTCTGGTACCTCTGAACAATCAAATGGGCTAATATAAGTTTGATATTCTAAGAACCACTGCGCAGCTGTTTCAAATTTGTTGTATATCAGCAGTTGGGTTACTCTATTCCCCAAATCAGAACTCATGTGTGTACTACCCGTTTGACCACGAATCAGTTGTAGGACTGTTTCATATTGCCTCAACACCATACAGAGTTCACTATGTTTTCTTATTCATGGCAGGTTTTAACCCCGCTGATCTTAGAACTTGCCTTCAAATATTTAGGCTGTGCGTATAAATCAAGTGGAACGTGTTGACACCTTGTGGTCAAGTGAACAGTACATCACTTGGTACTTTGAACTTTGTTTTCCGATCCAAATCCTTCTGTTTTCTGTGATCACCTAACAAGGTACTTAAACTTCAGTCAAGATATTTGCTGTGCCTCGGATACAATTCAATTTCGTCCCGATTGCTTTTCATCCCCACATCTAAAACAACTCCGTTGTAGAAAGGAGCGTGCCCTCAAAATGCTCAAACGCAACGAGGTGCGCTCTCTTTTTAAATGCATCAGAGATGAACTTCGTAGGGTCAACTCTGTGTAAAATCATGCTCAACGTGACAACAACGGTAGTCTTGAGACTTGACAGGCCATCATGCGAATTTTCGGCATCAAATCCTCACACCGCGCACTTGCTGCTGTGGCTATAGAAGGTCTGAATCAGAGCTTCATCAACAATGGAACCGGTTTCAGTGCTTTACCTAGTGTATATGAAAAGCATGACTGACCCCGTCGCCAGATCCGTACCTGCCGAATTTTGTCAAGAGTTGATCCGATTAAATCCTTGCAAGTCCAGCGGCCCAGATGGAGTCCACCTATTGTTCTAAAGGAATGTGCTGCATTCCTTTCCTCAGTACGGTGTAAACTTATCAATAATTGTGTCGCAGCAACGTATAAACAACTGCTGGAGAATATCCTTAATCACCCTAGTACCGAAGAACGACTCCTCCAAATGTGGTCCCATGGCCTGCACCTCAGTTGTTCTGAAGGCGTTTCAGAGGCTTCTGAATCATACCCTAACCACAGTTCAATGCTGGCGACCCAAACCAATTTGTATACACCCATTCCCGCGGTACCGTAGATGCCCTTGCTTATATCTCCCACTTTGTTTTATCCAACCTGAATAAGAAAAACAAGGCTTAACGCAAATGTTTTCTAGACTACAGTGATACCTTTATCACGATTCTTAGACAAATATTGGTAAATACCCTCTCTTCTGGCTGCGTTCAGCCTCCTACGACTGAACTCTTGACCAGCTGTTTCTTCAACCGTTAGCAGTTCACACGCTACAAAGGTGGTACATCTTCACTGCTACCCTCTTCCCAAGGTGTACTGTAAGGCACTGTTTTACCCCCTTTTCTGATTTCTGCTTACATTTCCTCTATACCCGAGAGCAATTCTTCTATTCTTGTTGAGTATGCAGACGATATGATATTTGGACTTCCCTACCCCAACCCATCATTTCAAACCACTCTACAAGAAAACAAGTCAGAAATAGTTGAGTGGTCTCAACAAAGGAACCTCTGTGTTAACCCCGGAAAAATGTAATGATGTAATTTTTTCCCTTTTGAAAAATCAAAAACATGATGAATTGTCAGGTGGCAGCCCACCTTTATCTGTCTTCCGTGACAAGATGGAACTACAACCATCTGTAAAATACCTTGGCCTTATTTTTTGCCGTAACTTCACTTGGTCTGACCACATCAATGACGTTTTTCTGAAGGTCAGGAGGATCACGTTTTATGTTTCATGTCTTAACTGACTGTCTATNTTTTGCTTGCGTTTTGCCCCACTGGCTTTATGGGTCCCCTGTAATCTTCTCCTTTCTTTTTAACAAGGACCTCAAACTCACTTCCCGATCGCTCAAGTTTATGTCGGTATGTAGTATTATACCGCGGGAGCATCTGGTACAGCATGTGGTGGCACACCACATCAAGTTATGTAAAACATTCTACAACAAGATTTCCCCATTTTCTCTCTTACCCACCAGTTCTAATCCTAA